CCCAAAGAGCAAATCGTACCCAGCACACAGTGACACCTGCTACCTACCGCCACCGTAAACCGGCAAACTGCTTGTCCTTTGCCTGCCTGTCGCCGATTGGCTGGTGTCCCGTCGCACCTGCCCTCCGCCCTCCGCCACAAGTTGATGTCTGGACTGCAGTGGCCCAGTATTGTCAGAATATCTCAGTGCTCCTTGCAGTTGACATCTCTCGCTGGTAGACTAAGCCTTGGCTTTCGTGTACTAAGGGAGGTGGCAGCTCGAAGCCAATATTCCAGCTCCATTCATATTTATTTTGCTATCACTGTAACTCACTTGTCTTAACGTAACTTTTCATTTGCCAGTGATTATTCATATTATTTTGTTTGTTGACTTGTCTTTTATATTTTATGTGCTTAATTTTATTCATGTCTTGTTTTTCTAAAGTAATTAAAATTTCATTGTTAATTTACTTGTGTTTTGTGTGTCTTCCCATTACCTTACCACAGACGAAAGCTCCAGCTTTTCTCTTTTTTTTCTCTAATGTGACGAGGCCCTGCCCCTAGCTTTTGAAACAGCCGAACACCAACACTTTACCGTCACAGCGGTAACGCAAAAAATTATTACAAAGGGCACAAAAGGTCTTTGTCAGACCTCAACGGAGATTATTACATTAATAATTACATCTATCTGCACACCTAACATGCCAGCTGGTTACAGGCATTGTTCCGTTTCAGTAGCTATGTATTTACAGTTAATCATTATACATTAATGGTGGGTCTTTTCACAAATTTACAGTCCCAGCCTGGGTTCGTATCCTGGCCGGGGATGATTACCGGGCGTCAATCCAGAATAGAATCAGAGAACACTGTATAAACATCAGAGGTACAATCAGAACAATCCGCGGTTGTTCAACGTCCTCCCAGCGACTAAATAGAAATATTGCCGGAACAACCGTGGACATCTTCAAGAGAGAAAACTAGATTTTTTTTTTTTTTTTTTTTTAGAAAAAGTGCGGGACCAACCGGGCTGTGGTGGGTATGTGGGCTTGTTGGCCGCTCCAAGCAACAGCCTGGTGGACCAAACTCTCACAAGTCAAGCCTGGCCTCGGGCCGGGCTTGGAGAGTAGAACAACTCCCAAAACCTCATCAAGCAGGTATCAATCCTTAACTGTAGCCTGTTTACCCAACAGTATAACGGTTACCTAGTTGTTAAACGATTTGGCGGGTCGTATTCCGGGGAATATTAGGATCAAAGACTTGCCCGAAACGCTATGCGTGCTAGTGGCTGTACAAGAATGTAAGAATATATAAAAAATATATAAATATATTTACAGTCTCCGTGGTGTAGTGGTAAGACACTCGCCTGGCGTTCCGCGAGCGCTATGTCATGGGTTCGTATCCTGGCCGGGGAGGATTTACTGGGCGCAATTCCTTAACTGTAGCCTCTGTTTAACGCAACAGTAAAATGTGTACTTGGATGAAAAAACGATTCTTCGCGGCAGGGGATCGTATTCCAGGGACCGTAGGATTAAGGACTTGCCCGAAACGCTATGCGTACTAGTGGCTGTACAAGAATGTAACAACTCTTGTATATATCTAAAAAAAAAAAAAAAATATATATATATATATATATATATATATATATATATATATATATATATATACACAAGTGTCTTGAGTTATAGAGATATTACAGGGTCTTAGGGGACCTGTTTGTTATTATTAGTCTTCACAATACACTACTTGTGTCTTAATCTCCTATGTCGTTTATCTACTGGAAGCGAAATATGGACACAATGCAAGGGTTTCAGATATTCTATCCTTAATAATATGGTTTGGCATTTCGTACAGCTTGAGTTTAGATTTATCTCTAAATGGCTCAATTGTATTACAATCTAAGATATAATGCTCTAATGTGTGTTCTTGTCTATGTCCACATACTTTACTTCGTCTAGATACCTTTACATCTCTTCATCTAGATCTGTCGGCTTGTTGTGGGGTGCATACTGAGGCGGGGTCAATAATTCGACCTGGGAGGGGGGAAGTGGAAGACCTCGATATAAGCCTGGTTGATACCTGGTTGATGGGGTTCTGGGAGTTCTTCTACTCCCCAAGCCCGGCCCGAGGCCAGGCTCGAATTGTGAGAGTTTGGTCCACCAGGCTGTTGCTTGGAGCGGCCCGCAGGCCCACATACCCACCACAGCCCGGTTGGTCCGGCACTCCTTGGAGGAATAGCCTCATACATAGCCTCATGTGTAATTTACCTGAATTTACCCGAGGGCCATTAATACTAGTGGCCTCGACGAAGACAGGAAGCCGGCGACTTCGTGGCCTCGACGAGGACAGGAAGCCGGCGACTTCGTGGCCTCGACGAGGACAGGAAGCCGGCGACTTCGTGGCCTCGACGAGGACAGGAAGCCGGCGACTTCGTGGCCTCGACGAGGACAGGAAGCCGGCGACTTCGTGGCCTCGACGAGGACAGGAAGCCGGCGACTTCGTGGCCTCGACGAGGACAGGAAGCCGGCGACTTGTCAAAGGTCTTTGCAATAATGATTTTTTTCCAGTTGTATTTTAAAACCCAACTGAGTTTTAGCGTTTACAGCTTTGGCGGATAAGCAGTTCCATGGGTGAAAAAGTGCCATGGGTCTCACCTTATTGGTGAAAAAGCATCTGCTGTTCTCACTCCTACATTGTGGCTTGTTGAGCCACAATGTAGGAGTGAAACGCTTGAAACCGTTGTTCATATAAATTCATAAATAAATATTGCTCCTATATGGCCCTGTATAAACACACACTGGCCGCCTGTCCTCCGATACTGAATTAAACAAAAATTGTAGAACCAATTACCGGTAACATAAGAGACGCAGGATCCCTTGATTGTTTCAAGCGTAGGTTAGACATACGAGTGAGCTTGGGTGGATACAAATAGGCGCTGCTACGTATGGGCCAATGGTCCTTCTACAGTTTCCTAGATTCTCGTGTTTTTATGTAATAAGCGGATCTTCACGTTTATAATTCCATAAGATTTTCCAAGAGACTACTTAGATCTAACGGTCTGATGTTATTTGTAAACCTTTGCGAGCCGCCATAACCCTGCATGCGCAGTTCGCCAATTAAGAAATGTCCATACACCAGTAACTGTGCACATGCTCAGGGACTCAACCCCCTTAATACATTGTAACTTGCTTAGCTAAATGAATTGTGGGGTTCAGTATGTTTTGGTTTCTCAGTCCCTGAGCCCATTATGTGCCTCTTAACTGTTTCCACTACCCTACCGCCCACAGGATGGGTATGGGGTACATAATAAATTACCTGAACTACAACTCTGCATACAGAACATTAATAAATCATAACTCTTGAGTAACAACATCAACACGCATGACTAACAAAACTTAACTAGAACTCGTCAACAATTGCTGGAGGTTCACATATGTGCTGTTCAACACACCAGACCACGATACAAAAGCCAAACATGTTAGGCAGTGACAACATGAGGGGTACACAACCAACAGTGTAGAGCAGGACAACATGAGGGGTACACAACCAACAGTGTAGAGCAGGACAACATGAGGGGTACACAACCAACAGTGTAGAGCAGGACAACATGAGGGGTACACAACCAACAGTGTAGAGCAGGACAACATGAGGGGTACACAACCAACAGTGTAGAGCAGGACAACATGAGGGGTACACAACCAACAGTGTAGAGCAGGACAACATGAGGGGTACACAACCAACAGTGTAGAGCAGGACAACATGAGGGGTACACAACCAACAGTGTAGAGCAGGACAACATGAGGGGTACACAACCAACAGTGTAGAGCAGGACAACATGAGGGGTACACAACCAACAGTGTAGAGCAGGACAACATGAGGGGTACACAACCAACAGTGTAGAGCAGGACAACATGAGGGGTACACAACCAACAGTGTAGAGCAGGACAACATGAGGGGTACACAACCAACAGTGTAGAGCAGGACAACATGAGGGGTACACTACCAACAGTGTAGAGCAGGACAACATGAGGGGTACACAACCAACAGTGTAGAGCAGGACAACATGAGGGGTACACAACCAACAGTGTAGAGCAGGACAACATGAGGGGTACACAACCAACAGTGTAGAGCAGGACAACATGAGGGGTACACTACCAACAGTGTAGAGCAGGACAACATGAGGGGTACACTACCAACAGTGTAGAGCAGGACAACATGAGGGGTACACTACCAACAGTGTAGAGCAGGACAACATGAGGGGTACACTACCAACAGTGTAGAGCAGGACAACATGAGGGGTACACTACCAACAGTGTAGAGCAGGACAACATGAGGAGTACACAACCAACAGTGTAGAGCAGGACAACATGAGGGGTACACAACCAACAGTGTAGAGCAGGACAACATGAGGGGTACACAACCAACAGTGTAGAGCAGGACAACATGAGGGGTACACAACCAACAGTGTAGAGCAGGACAACATGAGGGGTACACAACCAACAGTGTAGAGCAGGACAACATGAGGGGTACACAACCAACAGTGTAGAGCAGGACAACATGAGGGGTACACAACCAACAGTGTAGAGCAGGACAACATGAGGGGTACACAACCAACAGTGTAGAGCAGGACAACATGAGGGGTACACAACCAACAGTGTAGAGCATGCAGGAGAGTACAGTCGTCCACCTGGGGGCAAAAATCAATAACATTTGTAAGGCCGGAGCGCTCAATGGCCCGGCCACTTCTACACACACACACACAAGTACACTTGCCGAACAAAGTCGCATCAAGCGGAAATCTTGTGTGCTTAGTAACCAAAATTATGTCAATAATGGAGGGAAAAGAAGGCAAGATTGGCAGTAGGCGTGGTGAGGCCGACGGCACCATAGGCCTATACCGTCCTTGCTGAGCGAGCCCACCAACTGGTCGATGAAGAAGCTCCTCGAGGAAATAACAATAGCTATCACAGTGAACCAATGACACTGGCTGCCTGTGGGAGTAACACCACGGGTCTACTGACTCACCTTCATGTCGTTCATGACCATTTGGAAGAGTCCTGCCAGAGCAGAACAGTCCCGGTCCAGCGTCTGTATCACTTCCATGGTGCTAAATATCGACTGCTTACCGTACACTTTACACCGTCAATAACCCCATTATTCAATACACTTCAACCACTAAAATTCTTCGGGAATGCCCACAATCAAAGTGACCTCCTCTACTAGTCGCCTGAATGTCCACACAAAGGTTTACACCAATTCTTTCACGGTAACACAAGAGAAGAGCAACAGGAGCTCCACAACTGACCGCTGCTCAGCCACTGACAGCTCGGGGCCGGCGTCGCCTCGCTGCCACTGGCAACCCCCCGCCTGGAAAACGTCTCTTACAAATAATAACCGATTTATTTCCTCCATTTTGATTTATGACAAAAATATATCGATAGTTGTATTTAACGTGACGTTGCTTTGGCCGCCACGTGCTCTAGTGGTGTGTGGAATATACTATTAAACGGTAATAATAATTAGTTATATAATTAATATACTAGAAGGTACATTGGGTTATGAGAGTACATAACATTGGTGTTCTTACATTCTTAGAAATCCACTAACAAACTAATTAGACAAAATTATAATTATAATGAATTATAATCATCATCAATTATTAAAAATATTGACCAACCTATGCTTTATCCACAAGTAAAAGCAAAAAGTACTTAACTTCATCCTCATCAAATCAAATGTTTATTCAGGTAAAGTACATACATACAAGGTTAGATACAAACATTGATGGACTTATAGATAGAGCTAGTACATACAATGCCTAAAGCCACTATTACGCAAAGCGTTTCGGGCAGGGAAAAATACTTAGACTAAAACTTAATACTAATTGAGATTAAAGTATAAATTGTGTTGAAAAAAAAGGGGGGGTACATGGCAGAAAACAGCAAATATACAATTTGGTGTTGACCAGACCACACGTCGATCCTTGGAGCAAGGAGAATGGTGCAGGACGGACCGAACCGTCGTCGTCCCTTCACCTTCTAGTGTGTGGTCTGGTCAACATACTTTAGCCACGTTATTGTGACTCATCGCCTGCATATACAATTTGGTCAACAAACAGCATTGTTTAAAATAGTAAGACATGGGTTGACATTTGGGGGTAGGGTTGGTTACATGAAGGTAATTAGTTGTTGTTATAGATTCAGCTACCCTGAACAAGTTCCAAGTAGCACGGGCTATGGTGAGCCCGTGCTAAGTCCAGGTAGTGGATTTACCTGGCACAGGAGCGGGGCAAGTAGCACGGGCTATGGTGATCCCGTAGTGGACTTACCTGGCACAGGAGCGGAGGTAATTACGTAGGACTTAGTTTTTATCTTAAACTGGTTGGGAGAGGTGCAGTCTTTGACATGATTGGAAAGTTCATTCCACATTCTGGGTCCCTTGATTTGTAGAGCATTTCTAGTTTGATTAAGTCGTACTCTTGGAATATCAAATAGGTATTTATTTCTGATGTGGTGCCCATGGGTTCTGTTACATCCTTCTAGGAAGATTTTAAGGTCAGGATTGACATTACAGTTCAGAGTTTTATATATATAAAATACACATGAAAGGATGTGCAGTGACTTAATATCTAACATATTCAGAGATTTGAGTATGGGTACCAAGTGATGTCTGGGGCCAGATTATAGATATTATTCTAATAGCAGCTTTGTGTTGACTAATTAGAGGACGTAAATGACTTTGGGTAGCAGAATCCCCAGCACAAATACCATAGGTAAACAGGTTGGCCAGACCACACATTAGAAGGTGAAGGGACGACGACGTTTCGGTCCGTCCTGGACCATTCTCAAGTCGATTGTGATGAGGAATGTTGTTGTTCCAGATTTAGCTACTCAGAACGAAGTGTCCATGTAGCACGGGCTATGGTGAGCCCGTAATTAAGTTCAGTTATTCGCGATAACCTTATACTTCGCTGTCCTATAACTACCAAAGTTCTCAACATGCGGAAAGAATTAAATATATTTAGCATTAGAGATAGAATATTTGAAATTAATCTTATGATGGGACTAAAGCTTCTGCGTGATAACAAAAACAACATTGTGTCAGTTGAACTGTTAGAACACATACGAAATGGAACTAGCGAGTCTAAATGGATTCAAAGAACTGCCACTCATATTAAAATGATGGGACTGCACGATGTATATACAGATGAAAGAGTACAGCACTTCCTTTCACCCTGGCAGATAGTACCTTTTGACATCCTGACCCCTGAACCCCACCAAGAAACTAATCACAAACAACCCTCATGCTCAGCTTGCTGCTAAATTAAGCACCATAGAACACATTCACAATATACAAGCTGAAAACAACATAGCACAGACCATATACACTTACAGATCACTCAACACAGCTACAGGGAGGGCAGGAAGTGCTGTTATTGCTCATCAGCCCGATGGCAGCACAATTCAAAGGAATATCCGAATTAGTAACTGGGCATCCACAATGCAAGCTGAGTTTTTTTTTATGTTTACATGCAAGCATGCGTATAATGTACAATAAAAACAGAACAAATATAACATAGAACAAAAGTACAAAGCACACATATGTACAAGGACAAAGGAACAAATCAAGAGAAGACCAGCCAGAAGGGCTGACCACAAAACAAAAATGCATATACAAACATAACACAAATATAGACACAGCGTAAGACAAACATAAGGGAAAACCCCAGGACAAAATGCAAACAAAACAAGTCTGCTAACACCTCAAACACATACAGAGAGGCGAGAAACATACAAGAAGAAGGACAATAACAATAAAGAAAACAGATCCGCCAAAACAAGCGGAAGGCAAAACAAAGTGGCAAAACATAACAGAGCACACGCCAACAGCCTGAAGGGCACACAAAATGACAAGCGCACACGACATCCACAACCGAACACAAACGCATAGGAACCGCACACCCCCCCCTTTCCCACTAGCCATACAAGAAAACTCACAATACCAACCGGAGCACGCAGGAACCGAGAAACAATACCCATACCACCACAGGCAACACAAAATACATAGAAATCACTTGCGAGGAACAACGTGAAAAATGTACTTCGGGAAAAGATCACGAGAATACTTCGCCTTGTAAGCTTCCCAGACAAGATCTTCAAGGTCGGTAGGGTTTTTGATCCCCCGCTCTCGAGCGGGTATCATAAACTCAGGAACATCTATATCCGGCGGCATCGGCCAATGCCTAAGGTCACTGACGCAAGTCGCATAACGAGGCCGGGGAGCGCCATCCACGCCCTTCGAGGAAGAGGACGAGGGTCGCCGAGCCTGCCACGCCTTCGCCATCGGAGCAGGGACCGGACGCTGAGACGAGAGCACCTCCACGGATACCGCAGGAGACACGGAAGGGACTGCAGGAAACGGAAGAGGCGGCAAGACTGCTACCGAGGAAACGGGTAACGAGGAAGGGGCCACAGAACATCCAGAGCGAGCATCCTTTCTCAACATCACTACCAGGCCACCCCGCTCACCACCAACTACAGCAGGGGGAACCACCACCCACGAAGAACCGGAGCCATCCGACGCAGGCAACGCACCTGAAGCAGGACCCTCGGACACCGGACCAGAAGTTGAGGCCAAAACGCCGGCACCGGCATCCTCAGGCAAGTGTACCTCCGCCACCACCGTAGTGTGCACCACATCCGGAGCCACGCCACCGTCAACGGAAGGACGACACTCGTCGAAGACGCCAACTTCAGCCCACGCAGAAGAACGCCGGGAACGCTTAGGCTCAGGCTGCACATCATCAGACCCGGAGGCAGACTCAGCGACCCGCGCAGCACCAGCCGAGCGAACCAACGCACGCCGCAGTACGGCTGCCTCCTCAATCACACGGGGCACCAGGCCAGGCACAGGAGGGAATGCCGGATCCACCCTAGCTCCCAGCACAGCCGGAAAAGACAGCGAGGGTGCAGGGACCAGGACAGACACAGCAGAGGAAGAACTGGAGGACGAGGGGTCCGAGCAAACGGCAGTCGGAAGAGGCTCAGGGACACCAGCCGGAGCAGGCGGAGCACTAGGCGAGGACACAACCTCCGGAGGAGATGCGACAACAACAGGGGGCGCAACAGGCGGAGCAACAGCTGATACAGAGGGCACCTCCTCAGCCGAAGAGACGTCCACACCCACCGAATCATCCCCCACAGGAAGGGGCGGAAAATCCTCCTCACTGAAGAGATTCACTGGTGCAACAGCAGGCGAAGAACAGTCAGCAGCCTGATGACCCAAAAGACCACAACGATAACACGTCCGCGGCTGACGGGCGTAAAACACCCGAACGTTGTACCCCATAAGGCGCACAGAGGACGGAATATCCGCCCGGAGTCTCATGCCCAGGATGCGAATGTTAGACCTCACACCCTTAAGAGGACTAGAAGACACCACGTTCACTCTCACACTAACAACTGCGCCAAACCGGCCGAAATACCGCCGTAGCAGAGCCTCTGGAAACTCCAAGGGAGCCCCATGCACACTGATGTAAGTAAGTGCACCACTTCTATCCGAGAGAGTTACAGTGCCCGCACCATCCGGCAGGGGTAGTGTCCGTCCCTCGTATCGCCGCAGAAAATCGCGATATGCCACCTCCTCTGCAAACTTCACAATTGCCCTACGGGCCGTTACCAACTCGACCCCATAAATCGCAAACACAGGGACAGAGAGCATTTCACAAGCCAGGGCAATCTCCGGGTAACCAGCCCGCACAGAGAACTCTAGTCCCACAGACTGAGCCCGGACAACAGGGGGTAGAGGGACCCCCATCGTAACGCCACGTCAGCACAGGCGAGCAGAGACACACCCGCCCCCAACCAGCCGAAACGGGCAAACAACACCAACTGCTGTAGCGCCGATGCAACGCGTCTGCCCCGTACCGAAGCGAGGGCCCAACTCATGCAAGCTGAGTTGGTAGCAATACTGGTGAGCACTCGAAATTATTGACAGCACTGAAGTAGACAGCTTAATTATTTCTGACTCCCTTTCCTCACTACGAGCAATAAACAGTTTGCAATCAAGTAATAACGTGCTTGACTTGGAAGCTAGACGTAGATATATAAGAATACTTAGCAAGAGGGTAAATATAAAAATGTTGTGGATTCCTTCTCACATTGGCCTGCAGGAACATGACAAAGTTGACGCCCTTGCTAAGGCTGCAGTAAATAAAGACAGTATTGAACGGAATCTTGAGTTATCAAATAGGTCCCTTAAAAGTCATTAGACGAGAACTCCTGGATGAATTTGAAGAAAGTAGAACAGTGCAAA